TTTTGCACTATCTAATGACTTTTGTAAGCCCTTTTGATGCTGGCTCCACTCGGTTTGTATGCAAGGTGGCACAGATAAATTAGGTGAAATGGGTTATGCTCGGCGCCGTCGACAGTCCTATAGTTTATGTTCGGTCGGTTATTTATCTTAGCTGAGTAGGGATTTCTCTAGGAATGTTTAGATTTAGACGAAAGCCTTAAGTTGACAACTTTTCAACAGCTTCTGCTACTAAAGAACGTGCTTCTGAGTTCTTCAAGCAGTAAGGCTGACAATTGGGAGAAGAGTTTTTTTCTTTGGAGGAGTTGCCTATCTGCTGATTATAATCCAGAAGGTCGGAATTTCGTCTTCTCATTTTTGAGCCTATGCCATAAACTTAGGGGTTTGGTTAGTTAAATCACCTAACTTTTTTCTGTCGTGGGAATGATCTTGTCTGGTCAAGATCAAGATCATTCTTGCAGACTCTATTGACGCTTGCTACTGCGCTTTCCCCAATTTCTACTATCTCGTTGGGAAATCAGGTAAGCGGTACATATTTCTTCGATGCACACGTCGTGGAGCGCCATCGCAAGCGGTGTTTCACTGGGATTGACGACGAGAGGAATGCGTTGAAGAGTCAATGCTTTCTGCAATTATTACTAAATCACGCCTTGTACCTCCATTTCAAATTACTGAGTTTCTTCATCCACTGATGACGGATTCCTCCGTACACATTTAAGTCAACTTGTTTGACTTCGTAGGTCCCATTTGCTAGTATTACATTAATAACAATACCATTGGATGAAATTGCCTTGTTTTCATAGGTGCCGAATGCGGGACGTAAGTGGAGGGTGTTGTTCGTTGTCAGCATGCAGTATACTTTTCACCGGTATGGAATCACTGTTCAGCATGAGGTTAAGTAGACTTGCCATGCGTTTACGATTCCACAGGACCATTTAACACATTTCAGCTAAAACTTGAAGAAACTTAATGAGTAGTAGTAAAAGTGCTTTTTGACCTACAGTTTACGAGTTCTACACTAGTTATTATTTTCACTGACTCCCTTGGACATCAGTTTCCAATGTCTTTAACGGTGGCTGGCAGACAGCGCTGATTATTCTTTCATATTTTAACAAATTGTGCCTTCTCTACAGCACTTTGCGAATTGCGCTAAGCGTGAAAAAGCTTCCGTGATAGCATATCAAGTCCATCATCCGTTATAGGCTATTCTACTCCTCCCTTGATGGTCTTTGTCAGGCAGCGAAGCGGCAGAATATGCCGACAATGTAAAATGTTGAGGCTAGGCTGCATCTGCTGTCACACTTGACTTCAGCGTAGGTAATTTCTGCACGAACATTGCACACCTTCATGATATCCTCTAGATGCCTTATCACCACCAACATATTTAGCACATTTGATAGGAGCAGTTGTCGCCAGTGCAGCACAAATGCTGCTTGAACAATAATGAACTGCCATCGGAGTAAAAGCTGGTGCTGCCACGTGTGCTTCAGGAACTCTGTTCTCCAGCTATTTCATTATTGGTAAAGCAGTGGTACTGGCAGTCCTCATGTCCTCCGCTAGTTCTTCTGCACTTCACGCTGCTTCGATGTTCACCCATGATGTGGTCAAAGGCCTGACTTAAGCCACTTTCTTTACTGTAAATGTGAGCAAACTTGTCGCTGGTGGCCTCTTCGACATCGTAGGTGTTATCGTCAAGTCTACCTGTATTCGAACTCTACACTTGCTCCCCCGATCATGTCTGCGTCATCCCTTATCTTCACTTCCCAACAGTTTTCCACCCATGGTGTCATTCGGGTCGATTTCTGCGTCTAACCTCGGATAAAAGATGTTTGACTTGCCTTCATTTTTCATGTCTCGGACTACAATACCGATGCAGGATTACAGAGAGCACCAGTGTAGATGATGAAGACGTTGGGCAATGTGGCGGCAGGGTATGCCGTCAAGCATTTCAAGCAGCGCTTGTGGTGGACAGAAAAAGAGGAGGGACGATGGGACGCCTTGTGTTGTCTGAGTCGGGAGGCACAAGCACCAGTGAGTGGGAGCTCGATTGCGATTAGTGCAAAGAGGCCTAGCTAATATTCAGGAGGTAAGGAGGGAGCAAGAATTAAAAAGTTATGGAAATACCAGTACAATGAAAAATAGATGCCTCTGCTACTTTTATGATTGTCAGTTCGCATGTGTGAATGCATAGTGAAATGCAAGAGATGTAGAATTATGCTTCTATATAGTATGCCAATTAACCACCCTTGGTAATTTTTTTTGTGTGACAAATAGTATGTGTGAAATCGCAGTGCCAATATGGAGAGCAGTCCACATCTTTGTATTCCTCCTTTCATTGTCACTCACCATTTCCAATTAGGGCTGGAAAATAATCGGTTTATATCCATTTAACACGTGCAGACCTTAGACACGACAGGCTTTAAGCAGAGAATTTTACTGAGATTATGTTGGTGCTTTGGTCATTCCCATGTCACTGATTTGGTCAGCATTCCTTGGGTTCAACTTTTCTTCTAGTTGTAGACAACGGAATATTTGTTCGGGACAAAAGTTTGATTAGAAGCGATTGGCATACGAAAGGCATCACACAGCCTCAATCCATGACTGGAAGATGATTTCCTGCCGCACAGTTCGTGAGAAGGACGTGATGAGCCCCACTGAGGGATGCGCAGAGATAAACAAAAGAAGCGCTACTGGACATGGGGGCAATCAATGTTCCACTATATTCGTTCACTTTTCAAGAGACATACATCAGTGCAAAGAGATATCTATATCCCTTCTGCCATCAACAGACCGTCAGAGAAGGCATGAATGCAAATTTGATTCCCTCAATCACCTCTATTCAGCTCCTTCAATGATAGATTGAACCAGCTTATTGCCACACCTCAACGTAAGGAGTAATTGACATCTTTTATGGACGATGTCATGTCGCCCATCCTCCATTTGAAGTGATCAAGATTGTCAACGCATCTTTTTATTGCAGAGAGGCATATCCTGCGGTTGTCACAATTTTCTTTATTTTGATCCTATACCTGTTAAATGATGTTAGACACACATGATATCTATTTACAGTAGTGGGCATTGTGATTTCGTTGACGCCGCTTCTAATTGCTTTAGCTAATGCTTTAAATTACCAGTCATCTCTGCTTGAACGCTGGCCACATCACTCTCTTTGCTGTTTATTTAAAACCAGTTTTCGTAGCCCTTCCTCGCATTTAGGTCTGCTTTTGGCTTACCATTAAACTCTTTTTTTTATGCTACATACTGCCATGGAAGTAAAAAGCTGGTCTACCAGCGCATAGCCCGCGCACAATTCCGAGGTCACCTCTAGTATCTGTGAGGTCAATTCGTCCATTGTTAACAAGATAGGTAATCAGTTAGGTGTGTGTTATATCCATAAGCTAAGAAGCATTTCAGTCCTCAAGATAGCTCAACAGCATTTTAGTTATGCTGACTGCAATCGAACATGTTGCGGTAGCTAATGTGACTGTTTTGACCAAGTGATTAGGAAAACCATTGGTACCGATGAATTGAGATGCTAAAACAGGACCCAGTGATGAGTTGAGGACACCGGGTTTGCGTCTCATGGTTGCTCATCTCACGTCGATTGTTACTCAGTTTATGCCTCCAACAGTCTATGGGGTGTCGGAGCTTATCTCCACCTTTAGGATTGGCGATATCCGCCCAAAATTGGGTCCCTTATAGAAACTCTCATTTGTCATTTGAATGTCACGTTCATAAAAACACCTTGCTTGCGGTTGCTAGCATGCTGAATGGCAAAATTACGATCGCACCCACTCGAGGGGACATTTGGATTGTGAAATTAGTAGCAGGGACGATAAGAGCCAAGTAGTACTGACTTACCTGGCATCGTCTTGTTAACAGCTTCAAAGAATAAGCAAGATATCATTCAGTGTTTGGTCTGAATGCAACTGAAATGACAATGAAGGAGAAAGAGCAGACTGAAATATCTGGACTTCCGAGCGCATACTACTATGATCTAGTCAATACATTTTTTGTTGTCACTACAAGTCTTCGTTTTTTACTTAATTTGCATTGAATTCAAAGAGCCGCGAAACACTGCTATCTACTTGTGGCATATATTTTACAAAATAAACAAAAAACTCTGCCATTGGGTTGCTAATACACTTAAAGCTATCCAGCTTCAATTAAAACAGATTATCACCTGTAACAATGGCGTCATTTTAACAACAAGCTGGCTTACATGCTGCAATTGGTCCTTCGCGTTGAAATTCATTTCTACAGGATAAGGAGATTTATTAGATTGCATGCCCCTGTAGCGGTTGCAGGGCACCAGTACATTTTATTCGAGGCGTTGCCTACATTATTCTTGCCCTCGTTGTCTGATTACTTGTGTTATTCATGGGAAATTCTTTGTGCTAACAGGTTGGCACTACTAAGTGCTTAACGCATCCAAGTGTTTCTTGTTACAGTAAAACAACGGAGTGGACATGAAGTCGCATGTTGATGACCATATCACGACTTGCAATCCCTCCTTTTGCCACTAAACATTATGACATTAGTCAGTCCCTTCTGCTTTAAAACCATAAGCAACACTTAGATGTAAACTGAAATTTTATGCTCCTTTTTGGGGCAGCTGATGCACCACAGTTAAGTGACCACATTCTAAACTACTTCTTTGCCCTGTTAGTAAGAGTACAGCAAATAGTTGGGTTGATCTCGTCCTAAGGTAATATTGCAGTAAACCAAGTATCAGGTCACAATACTTCCTGGCAGAAAATCAACGACTAAACCACACGGTGGTTATTTACTGACTCACTAGTACTGACATTTTGTACCCCAACTTCAAATTTAATCACTCATTTGAGGACACGTAATTATCCTCTTCAATCACCTATGGCATTTGCTTCTTTCATACAGATCAACACGATATACGTACATATTATTATGGTTTTGAACCTAGCTGTGCATGGAGGTTTCGGTGGAGATCAGAGAAGGTAACGCGGCAATATTTTTAGCAAAATAAATAAGTTCCCTATCTGGGCACCAGCATACGAACTCCGACTTATTGGTGTGCAGTTACCTCTATTCTATAAAAGTGATTCTCACATCCTTCATGCTGTGCATTATGATAGCCTTCTTTCAGTAATTATCCAGGAGTAACTCAGATACACTCTGCTTCACATCATATTTCGCAATTCCCTCGCCC